CCCTACCACGGCTACTCGGGGAGGGACATCGTCATCGAGAACCTCCGGTGCGTGCCCCCCCGCCCCCCCCCCGCCCTTCGGCGTCTGTATTGGGGGGTCTATGCATGTCGATTCGGGTCATTTAAGCAAGCTTTTGGCTCTTCTCGTGAAGTGTAGAAGCGCCAGGAAAGGCAGGCCTTGGCCTCGCAATCAGAGAGCCCTCCCGGCGCAGGCTCCCTCAGCCGGGACTGGAGCATGTCGTCCTAGTCGTTTTTCATACATGGCTAATGCTCATAACCTTTTGCCGATTTATCGTGCGACATGCGCGTGACGTGCTCAGGCAAAAGTGTATCTGGAACCACTACGGCGGCGAGAACACGGGGAAGGAGGAAGGGGTGGGCCTTCCCTGGTGGGGCTATGTGCGGGAGTTCACGGAGAAGTGCAGGTGAGGGAGAAGGAAGAGGCAGGTCGGACTAGAGAGGAAGAAGCGGGGACGAGGCAAAGAGACAGGAGGGAGGCAAGCAGGGAGGGGTTGGTGGAAGACGCATGGCGCGATCTCGGGCTGAAGGGGGGTATGGGAGCGGCGTTCTCTGAGACAAGGTGGGAGCTCCGACTCCCTTGGGGTCCTGCAGGGCTCATTTTACCTGCTATCGGGCATTGCCTTTTTCCACACCTCGTGCACAGCCGGCGTTCGCGCTTCACGGATCCGAACTGCATCAAGGAGGCGATGGGCGCGGCGGGCGTGGACCACAAGAAGATCGAGGCCTGCATGGAGGACGCGGGGGGGGTAAGGGGAGGAAGCGGAAAAGGAGAAGAGGACGGACCGATTGCAATGGAAAGGAGAAGAGGACTGACCGATTGCACTGTAGAGGGTGGCGGGCGGGTTTCCTCCAATCGGTACCGATCCAGCTTTTCCCCTCTCCCTTCTTGTCTCGCAGGTGGACCAAGACAGGGAGAACCTGATCCTGCAGGCAGAGCTCTTGGAGAAACTCAAGAAAAGCATCGTCATCGTCCCCTCCGTCTACGTCAACAACGTCGTGCAGCGAGGTACGCCTAGCCCCCCCTATTCAAAACCTTGCCCTTCCTATTTTCCCTTAATGCTCCCATACATTCGGACCGTCTCATCGTAACTTCTTGCGGCACAGGTGGCATCTCCTCCGTAACCGTCCTCTCCTCAATATGCGCCGGGTATCTGGAGGGGACCCAACCTAAGGTAAGGAAGCCCTCCTCCGGT